TAAGCTCTATGTGAGCTAGTACTAGCTGATTGCCTCTGCTAAAGAGCTACAAATATACTGAGTAGACTGAGCAGACTGAGTTGAAAGAGAATGAGAGCATTATTGATATGCAAGGCAACAGAATCCACAATATTTATGAATAATCACGCAGACAGTTCGGATTATTATGAATCAATTTTGGAAATATTTTGTAGCAAAATTAGTTTGGAGAAAGTGTTCTAGTTTATAAATAGTATATTTTTCTTTCGTCTGCTTTTCACCAACAATAAACATACATAATATGTCCTTTCGTACAGATAATTCTAAAAGGTTGTTTCTAGAATCGTTCCGTTCTGAACGTCATGGAAACTGAAGAAAAAGGAATGAATTCGCATATATAACCCATTATAGATTATCAACTCGGTAGCATTGCATGCGCTTAAAGATTTAGTTTTAGATTTACAACTGGCTTGAAAAGACCAATATCAGCGTTAGCCTGAAAACTGCGCCCAAGACTTCCGAGTCAACGTAATCAAAACGTTGTGGCGTTAAAATCACTAAAGTCTGCGAGATTCTTCAAATCTATTTGTGGAATATTTTTTGCTGCCACTGTAACAATACCGGCACCAAAAAGGAATATCAACGCTTTTAACAAAGGTTTATTTGACATTAAAATCTAGAGAGAGATCGATAGTGTTGTTGATAGTGCTGTTTCAAAATCTCTCATAACACTCACAGCAGAAGTGACGATACAGCCGGTTGCGACGATATTTGAGTTTTAGTTAATACACAACTGTATTTTTTTTTTGTTTTCCGTTTAACAAAATTTGCAATAATTCTTTGGAGCAAAATTGCTTTTTAAATTACACACTTTTTGGAACAACCAAATTTAAATTCTCGATTTATCACAAACAAGAAACACTCAACGATTTTTTATATATATTTTATTATTTATTTATTTTGTCAACTTACATATATATGTATAATTATTCAACGGTTTAAGCGTTCTTATGGCCGCTTACACTTAGTACTCTCTACTCTTGCACAATAGTACACACTGACTACGACTGTGGGCGCTGTTCGATATGAAATTTCATTTACCGCAATGTCGTGTGCTCGAGCTGTTTTCAAGAGAAAATTAAGATAAGATTTTTACGAGAGTAGCCACACTTCTGCGAACGCATGCATGCATATTGTATAACAAATATTATCGGAAATGGTATTCCGGATATAGCAAACAAGATTATGTTGTATGTTAGGTGTTTGAGGCACGTTTCTTACTTTGGGGATATTGAAACCCCCTCAAATCTCCCCTCAAACCCCCTCAAATCTATGACCGTAGTTGTCAAAATGGAACATAAATTCAAAACTGAAGATATACATATAGGTATAGATATAGATATAGATATACATATTTAACATAAAGAGATCTTTAATTCAGAATAATGGAGTTGCCATACACCGAGTTTAATTATAGTTCACACTTTGCATCACATTTATTTATTATAAGAGGTGGGATAGTATCAAATTTCTCAGAAGACCTTCCGAAAAAAATTTGGTTAGGTAACAATTTGGAAATTGTACAAAATAGAGTTGCCACCCACCGAAAAAAATTAACCTGACAAAATACAACAAAATGTATGCGAAGAGAAAGTTGGCGTTTTTTTAAATTTATTAAATGTAAGTGATTTATATTATATAATATGTGGAGATGTTTTGCGAACAGTGTTGCCACTCATCCAAAAATCAGTTGACTAAAACAGTTATTATGTATATGTATATGTTTTACGAGCTAATAAAATATATCAATCTCAAGAAAACCCTCCAAGAAATAGCTTGGTAGCTAGCAACTTAGAAATTGTATAAAATAGAGTTGCCACCTATCGGAAAAGAAACAAAATCACACAAAATATATGCTAATAGTTTTAGTTGGAGTTTTTAAAATTTCCACCTAATTATTTAACTTATTAATATTTAGAGTGCACATAATTTTGGATAGAGTTGCCAGATATTGAGAAATTAACATAATACAATATCAAAAGTGCGCTAAGCATGCGGCATTTAAAAAATCTGCCGAGTAAATTGTCTTTAGTTTTAATAATATACATCATATGTATTTGATACATTTAAAAAGAGAGAGTTGCCACCTGACTAAAAAAATTTAGTGAATGAAATACAAAACATGTATGCCAACAGATTTGGTTGGAGCTCTGAAGGCTGTTTGCAATACTAACCAATCTGGGAATAGAGTTGCCACTGAAAATTAAAAAAAAGCGTGCACTTATAATATAATATACCCTTTAAGTGCTTTTGTTGCTAAATATAAAACCGTTTAGTAAGTCATCCTTAAACATTTGGGTAGCCGTTAAGCAGTATTTGATTTTAGACAGCGTTGCCACTTTTCACTAACCAATCAATTTAACAACCATGCAATTTTTCCAAAAAATTGAAGTTTTATAAGCATATAGAAAAACATTTATTTCCCTAATAAAAAATATTAACAGAGTTTCCACCTTGTAAAACTTCGAAATAGAGTTGCCACTTAACAAAATGCGCACAGAGTTGCCACCTTTTGAAAGTTTAAACATTTATCAGAACAGTTCCGCTAAATACAACGACTTTAAGAAATCATTCTGAAAGTTCTGTGCGCGTTTATTAAAAATGTATTTGGTATGGAGTTGCCACCTACCACTTAAAGTGTGTATATTATAATCTGTTGGCCGGAAATAGAAAAAAATAAAGTATCTTACGAAAAGCATTCGGCATATTTCCAATCGGACAGTTACTTTAATAGTATGGTAAGCAATTCCATTATTCTCCTCAACACTGTGGGTGTATATTACATCTTCTTTGAATGCATTCATTATTTAATAAATGAGTATACCAGTTTTTACGTGGAAATTCCGCAATCATTTTCAAACAGTGCTTTGCACTATTATTAGATACAAATCGTATGTGTATATTTCTGGGTATATATAATATATGTGTAAATTTGTAGGTATATTTTATCAATACAGTAGCTATTGCTATTGTATGTTGCCAAAGCGAGGTGATGGGTAATGTGCGAACAGTCGTAAATTGAGTGTTGAAGTGTGAAAATTGCATTGAAGTGTGAACGAGTGTGCAACAGGTTGCTATTCTGTGCAATTTAAAGAAAACAATTCAATTTAGCCAATTTAAGAAGTGCGCGTATACATACTTACATATAAAATATAAAGAGAGACAAATAAATGCTAATGGTTATTGAAGAAAGCAGTAGTTGGATATACAAGAAACTTTTCAAATTATGTAAACATTTTAAAATTACCTTTTTTGAGTTGTGGCTTTGTAAATTCCTAAAAAATTAAAAAAAAATATTTAAATACTTATTTGAATATACATATGCACTTACATATGTATCAATAAACATAAGCTATAGTCACTTATATGGAACTAGTCCAAAAATTGTGCAAAAGCATAATTTCGCATCAGTGGAACTGGCCAAACTCAACTGCAACGAAATTGCGTTACGCAACAAAATTCCGTCACGTTCGTACTATATGGATATAGAGTTTCCGTTACGCTTCCGTTACGCTTCCGTTAAGCCGAAGTGAATATACTTTTGTATGGTTCGCGGGAATACCCCCTGTTAGAATTTAGCCACATTTCAAAAAATTTTATTAAACGATTTTAATACAAAATTAAGAGCTTTCAATCTTAAAAACAATTTAAATAAAATTAGAAAATACAAAATGTGGCCACAGTTGAAGCGGTTGAAAATAATTTCCTGGCAAAAATTTTTTTCAAAAGAGTTGCCACCTGTTTGGATTCTTATCATGCAATTTATAAGAATAACGAATGAAATATGAAAGTCAGCTTTTTATGAACTTAAAATGAGATAGTCGTACATTAGTGCAAAATATTTTTTGAAAAAGTAAAACGGGTATAATATGGCAATGTGCTTCTCTTCAAAAATCTTTGCAGAAGTCTGGCAGCATGCTTGACATTTCTTGTTCAATTTTTTTTTTAGTAAATTAACAATATATGTACATAGAATAAACATATTGTAATAAACATATCACGATGAAGAGGTGCATGAAGTCTTATAGTCAACATATTTTCAAATAGAGTTGCCGCTGATATTTTTATTAAAATTAGTTAATATAACTAAATAATATTCATTTAACAAACTGAACAGTTTAATAATTTAAAAAGTCTTCATAAACACTTTAAGCATTTGAAAAGTGCAAAATATACTTGAACACCCTTGCCACCTTGCTAGAATTTTTTTAATTCATTTTGTTTTTATTTGTATTTTTTTTAACTGACGATATTTCGAGAAAGATTACAGTCTAAAATATTTTTGGGGGCGTTGCCACCTGTTTGTTTTTTTTCAGTTAGCCAAATCTTATAGAGAATTAATTGTTACCAAAAAATTATTATTATAAAGCAAATTTAATAATAAACGTAAAATTTCTGTTTGAAACTAAATACAGGGTTGCCACCATTCCCAAATTTTAATTGCTTAATTGATGAAAAAATTCTATATAATTTTTCGTTTCGTTTTTTTTTTTAATTTTTTCAAGATAATGTTATTTCGAGAAGATTACAGTCTAAAATATTTTTAAGGGTTGCCACCTGTTTTCAATTTTGCAGATCTTATAGCAAATAACATTTAAACAATAATTGATCTTTCGGCGAAGATTTCAGTCTAAAATATTTCTTTACAGGGTTGCCAACTGCTTAATTTTTTCAGTTATACAAATTAATTGTTGCCAAAAATGATTTTTATATAACCAGTATAATAATAAATGTAAAATTTCCGTTTGCAACTGAATGCAGGGTTGCCACCATTCCTAAATTTTAATTACCTGCTCAAAATGTTAACTGCAGAGTAAAATGGAAGCAATGTGACAAACTTTGCAGTACATATTTTTAAGGTTGAATCCAATCACACGATTCTATCAGTGGTAAACTTCAAGATATTCTAGCTGTACTAATATTAGACATCTTCTGGTCACTTAATCAGGCATCTCCACGATATGTTGAATGATGAAAAGAAAATGTGGCATAATTGTATACGTCTCATAACACTATACGCATTGGCAACGCCGTCAGGCTTGGCCGGTGCCAAACTCGAATTGCCAACGCAGCCGCAAATCTGCAATAGTGAAATGTGTGAATGCACTAGTGCTAATTTCGAATGCCGCTTAAAAGGAAGATTCAGCTTAGTCAATGTAGAATCCAGAGTGCGCGTATGGAACGCCCAAACAGATGTGCTCACTGCGTACGATTTAAATATAACTTGCATATATGAACCTGAGGATTTAAATGTGGTGCTAAATATGATGCCACCAATAATATTTGAAGAGCCATTGCAATACTATTTGAAAAACTGCTTGGAATACCCCGCTATACTGCAGCAGTCGCATGTAACATACGAAGGTATTGTGGAATTCGATCAATATTTGGAAACGCCGCCGAGATTTTTCAATCAAACGCCAGTTTTGCAAGCGCTGACTTTGCCAGTGCATTTCAATTATGTCAAGAACCCGTTGCCGCCGCAATTGTTGCATAATTTAACGAATTTACAACATTTGGTTTTGCAGCTTTACACTCCGTATCCGGAAGTACGCTATCCCGTCGAACTTTTGCACACACTGTACAAATTGGAAACACTTTCCATAGAGCTCATAGCGCTGCAAACAAACGTACGCGACACTCAAAGCGCGCATTTTCGCGATCTGCGCGCACTAAAGCAATTGAATTTAGAAGCAAATCATATGACGGCACTACCTGCCAAACTCTTCAGCACACTACCAGAGTTGAGAAGGTTGAGCTTACGACTGAATGACTTAGAGGAGCTGCCGCCGGATTTGTTACGTATGCAGCGTAAACTGCTCGTACTAGATATATCGGAGAATCACTTAAGCGCATTACCCAAAGGCTTATTTGACAATACGCCGCTGCTCTGGGAGCTCTTACTCGCGCACAATAGATTCAGTGTGCCAACAAGTATTATTGAAAATGTGCATGCGCTTAACTTTTTGCGCAAAATCAATTTGGGCTACAATGGCTTACAGACGGTTTGGGGTACAGGTATCTACAGCAATCACACGCTTTTCACACGCGCCAATATTACAGATGCGCAATCGCTGACCAACTTTGAGCGCATGGTTAAGTACATCGCGGTCTTGCGTGAACTTGAGCCGCTTAACTATACGGAGGTGGTGCTGAGAGCTAACCAACTCACATACTTTTCGTTGGACTGGATTGCGGCGGCAGGCATCAGCTGCCCTTACTATATTGATCTCGCAATAAATAACATAAGCCACGTACATGCGCTCCTGTCACCGACAAAAGCAACCTGTCGGCAAGAAGTGCACTTGTTGTATAATCCGCTTGTGTGCGATTGTGAATTAGCTTGGATCTACAATACGAATATGCTTGTAATTGGCGTTCAGTGGCAGTGCGCAACGCCGGAGCGCTTATATGGTAGCGATTTGCGTAATTTGCATAGAGACGCGCTTTGTGACTGGTCACCCGCCTGGTGTCCATTGAAATGCCGTTGTACGCGGCAATTGAATGCGCTGCTAATCGATTGCAGCGCGGCAGCGCTACAAGCACTTAGTCAGCTACCGCGGCCCGAACAGTTGTCGCTGGTGGAGACTACGCTCAACCTCACGCGCAATCAATTTCGGGAGTTGCCATCGAACGCCACTTTCGGCTATGCGAATGTGACGCGCCTGTATGCGGCGCACAACCGCCTAAATACCCTGCTACCGACACATTTGCCACATACGCTGCGCGTCTTAGACCTGCGCACGAATCAGCTGCAGCGCTTGGGTGAGAACTTTCTGCGCGCTTATCTAAACGACAGCGCTACGCTTACAGCGCTTTATCTCTCCGACAATCCGTGGCTGTGCGATTGTGCCACAGAGCTCTTCCTATACACGCTGCGCGTACATCATAGTCGCATACCTGATATCGAAGAATTGTTTTGCGCCAATCTTCCGAATATAACGCTCGCGAATGTAACTTTCACGGATATTTGTGTAACACCTACTAACAGTTGGGCTTTAATCACACAGCTCATTGCTGCTTTTCTAACAATACTCACACTCTTGACTTGCATTGCACTGTACTACAAGTATGAGTTGGAGCTAAAAGTTTGGTTGCATGCGCATAATGTGAACATTGCCTGTTGCAGCATTGACGAAATGGACTGTAACAAAACTTTCGATGCCTTCATCTCATATGCGCACGAGCAGTCGGACTATGTAAACCAGGTGCTCGTACCTGGGCTCGAGAAAACGGCACCTTACTTTCGCATATGCACACACGAACGCAACTGGCTTGCCGGCGCTTACATACCAGAGCAAATTGTCGAGTCGGTTGCGCAATCGCGTCGCACCATCATTGTGCTATCGCAGGATTTTGTTGCATCGCTTTGGGCGCGCATGGAATTTAAGACGGCGCATCAGTTTGCTGTAAACGAACGGCGTGCACGCATCATTATTATTAAGTACGGTGAGGTGGGCGATATGGCGGGGCTTGACAGCGAATTGCAGGCTTATTTGCGTATGAACACCTATCTGGAGTCGGAGGATCCGCGCTTCTGGCAGAAACTGCGGTACGCCATGCCGCACCTTAGGGGCGAAGGCAGGAAAGCCGGTATGCTCGAGGTGGGCGAAAGAGTTTACGTGCGTGGACAAGTGGAGTTGAATCAAATGGCGATTAGCAAATAAATGTGTGATCGCATGACGATACTCAAATCTTATTTTTGCCACAAAATACTTACGGCTTATGAAAATAAATAAAAGCTTACTAGACTTGTGGAATTTTAAATCAAAAAGGTTTTTTTTTTGTTTCAAATTTTGGCGAATATAGATTTCTCTCTACAGTACACTAGTAAATTATTTAGATATTATTTAAAAGGCGGTATCTTTTATAAAGCTTATCAAGTTTCTTATTAATGGTAGAATAACAGAGCGAGATCAAGCATTTCTTTAACAAAGTACGGCTACTCGATCGAAGTACGTTAACCAAACCGACAGAAATGTGCCTGCTGCAGACCGATTTGAAATTAGAGAAGCAAACAGACAGACATCCACTTACTGCAGTCAATTCGAAGTTAGAGAAGTCTGTGACACTCAAGAGCAGTTTTAAAAGGCTGAAGTTGATGTCCAAGAATATCTACTCATGTAAAGAGGTAGGGCGAAACGCTTTCACCCAAGCGCTGTACTTTTGATACTTTTTTCGATGTTTGAATGAGCCTGACTGCTTTATAAAAGAATTTAAAAAATATTATAAAATTGTGGTCGAGTACTGCCTTGCGATAGTTAATCGAACTCAATTAACTTCTTCTAACGCCAAAAGAAGTACTATTTCGGGGATATTTAGATTTAATTATTTATATTAATTATTTTTTTGACTTCTTCAATGATTATGAACAATAAATAGGGGCCGGGAACTGCTTTAAGATACCATAATAAGTCTCAAAATTGAGTATCTCAACCTAAGCTGTTTTCTTCGTTTTATTAGTAGTGTTTTTACGTGCCGAATCCCAAACCCAGCGTACCCCGGGTAGAGATGGTACGCCTTCTCACTTTAGGTCGCCTTCAAAAGGGTGTGCTTTGGCTACCCAGAGGACACTTGGACCGGAAGTCATAAGCTGCTTGAGCCATATGTAAAAGAAACTTTTCTGGATCCTCCCAAGTGAATGGCGCTCAGAGAGCTTCCCTCACTTGCGTAAGTTTCTACACATGGCCTTTATTCCGACGATTGGAATTTAAGTGTGAAGAGGAGTGACACACACCACCTCTTTATCGATTTCTAAGCTGCTATTGACAGCACGAAAAGGAGCTGCCTTTTTGCAGATCTCAGAATGTTTTATATGGGTGTACAGCATTGCTTGTGCTTCAGAAAACTTTCACAAGAATTGTAGAATAACTATTGCCTAAAGGTGCTACTTTTAACTGAGTAGACAACTGAGAAGTAAAGTTCCCTGACAGGGAAAGCAGAGGAAGAGGAAGACCTGCACTTCGTTTTGAGCACCAGGTAAAGAATGCCCTGCCTGCACTTGGTATCTCGAATTGGTGCCAAATTGCGAAAGAAAAGGAATCGACTGGTGCGCTGTTGTTAAGTCTTACCTTTTAACGTTAGGCTGTTGCTTTCAAACCATTAAGAATCTAGAATACGATTCAAATCTACAAATTTAAAAAAATCTAAACATTTTTTTTTCATAATTCGATAGTTTTGCTCAAAAATATCTTCCTAAAAGGAGTTTTCAAAACTCAAATTATTATCAAAGTTATAGCCATTTTAGTGACGTGGCTACTAGACCGGTTGAGCGAACATCTATATATCTATTACGCTGCCCCAAACTTAACGTAAAACTTTAAAAGCATTTTTCTCAAAACTTCTTTTTTTGATGCGTTAGCCACAATATCTCAAGTTCTAAATAGTCGATTTATTTGAAATTTTGGCACGAATGTTCTTTAAAAAAAATCTGTATCGCTAGAAGCAACAAAAAATAAAAATTTGAAATTCGTAATGTTTTTTAAAAAATCGACAAAATTGAAAAATTTGTGAAAAAATCGACCCGTTTTTTTTTTTTTTTTTTTTTTTTTTTTTTTTTTTTTTTTTTTTTTTTTTTTTTTTTGAGTAGCCGCCATTTAATGAACACATTTTTTTTTAGTTTTGCGTCATGCTTCATGACATAGCTACATTCGTTCCCATTAAGAATCTGCCATTGTTTTCATTTTCAGATGACGACAAGGGTAGAAATCATGATGAGGACGCGGACCCCCCCTCTTTTTTCCCCTCTTTTCTTCAAGGACGCATAACACGATGAAAAAAAAAAATTTTTTTTTTTTGAAATTTATTTTGTATACTTTTCTAAGTTTAATAAACAAATGATAAAAAAACGAATAGTTAAAATATCTAATGCTTGTTTTTTATTAATTGTTGAAGAAGTCTCTAGACTAGAATACACCCTTAAGGTCAAATCGGTTAGAAGTTTTGGTTTTATTGTGTAGTACCAATATGATCAAATTGAAAGGTGAATTTTGTCCATTTCAACTCCTTCAAAGTAATACCCTCCCGCGTGATGGCTATCAGAGCCTTTTTCGATTCAGTTTTTATATCATCAATTGAGTCACAACGGTGTCCTCGGAGTGGTAACGTGAATTTGCTGAATAACCAGAAGTTCCACGAAGATAAATCAGGCGAAGGCGGTGGTTGCGGCATGATATTAGTTGAAAATGTGACGAAATGATCTCGCACTCCTGTGTTCGACAAATTCAGACATAGCAAAATTCGAAGAATTTACTTTTACTTTTAGAGCCTCACAAAACGACGCGTATCTCAAATACTAATAAACATTTTGACGTGAAATTTAGCATAGATGGCAGGAACAGTTACAGAAAACAAATTTACTGATTCGAAAAGCACGCTATGTATAAACTGAAAATTCAGCTTTCAATTTGATCGCAGTGTTATAACTAGAGCTAATTAACTTTTCATTGCAGTTACCTTTGTCCAAGACTTATTTATTTACTCATTATAATACGTTTATGCTATACTTAAATTCATAACAGCATTCAGTTCAAACGAAATTAAGTAGATAAAAGCTTAATAAAAAAACAGAACAGAAAGTGATAGAAAGGGAAGACACTGCATCAACAATTGGGAGGCCGAGCTGGAGCTTTTGGAGCTTTATGCATGGAACCAACAATTAAGCCAAGACCTTGGCCCGAATGTAAGCTTGTAAAGAGCGCTACGAGCCCTTACAACTTAGAATCTATCATGAAGCACTTTAATATTTAGCTATTTACTTGCTCTTTTCAGCATTCACTCGACATTGAGGTTAAGTGCTGCTAAGCTGTGCCGATGTCTTAAAGTATTTACAAACACGCCTTAGAATGTTTCATCAAGTAACTTATAAGCAACGCTTGGTACTGCAGCTTTTACTATATCTCCTATGCGTCAACGCAGTGTACACCAATTTGGCAGCACCAAAGCCGACGTTGCTAACGAAGCTGCAGCCGAAGCCAAATGGACCCGAAAGCGCCTTCAAAAGCTGCTACCAAAACAAGTGTCAGTGCAAAAAAGAACTAATCAATTGCTATTTGAGCGACCGCAATGGTGCGGTGACGCTCACAATTTCCTGGAATTTTGTAGAAGACAAGATTACGATGGACTGCGAAGGCGCGACTCATAATATAGACGCGCTGTTAAGTGAAGTGACTCACGAATTCGTACATAACGATACCTATTACGAGCTGACCAATTGTCAACAACTGCCGACTATGCTGCGTCGCCCGAACGTCACTTACATTGGTCATGTGTCATTTACTGAAGATGTTACAGTACCTGAGCGTTTCTTTTCACATACAAACGGCTTGTTGTTGTTAGTGTTTAATATAACAACGTCGAATGCGGAACCCAGCATGCCGGTGCAACTGTTTCACGAACTTAAGGAAATAAGAGAGTTGGAGTTGTTAGTTGTCAGTGACGCGCCAGCGATCACTTTACCCGTGGAACTCTTTCATAAACTTGAAACTTTGGAAATACTCTCTTTTTACGTGTATAACGCTGCGATGGGCTATTACGAAAAGCCGAATTCGCAACGAACATCGGCACGAAATTTAACGGGCGCACATTTTCGTGATTGTAATGCATTGAGGAGTCTGCTGCTAGATGCGAATCAACTCACAACGCTGGAGCCAACAATTTTCAATACACTGCACGAATTGAACCATTTGAGTTTGAGTTTGAACGATCTGCAAAATTTACCCGAAGATTTATTCGTTGCGCAACAAAAGTTGGTCATACTGGACTTGAGTATGAATGCGTTGAGCGCACTGCCGCCGCGCTTATTCGCGCATACGCCTCTGTTATGGAAATTAAACTTAGCTGAAAATCGTTTCTACACGCCTACAAATATTATAGCCGCGTTGCACTCTCTACACTATCTCTACAAACTCGATTTGGATAATAATAAGCTCAGCAGCATTTGGGGTACCGGCGTATACAGCAATCGTACGCTGTTAACACGCAGCGATATAAGAGATCCAGCAACGCTGCCCGAGTTCACCGAGTATGTGACCATTGAGCGCGGCGCTTATAATGAACGCGAACTTAATATTACCATTATTAGTTTACGTCGAAATCAGCTTACGCACTTCAATTTCGACTGGATTAGTGGCGCTGACGGCTTGGCTTGCCCTTACGAGCTGGATCTCTCGCGCAATAAAATTAAAACTATTTACGCTGCCAAGCGACCGCCGAGCACCACTGGCCGGTGTCAGCGCAATTTAAACTACAATCGCTTGCATTGTGATTGCCAACTAGCTTGGTTGTATAACAGCGATTTTCTAACGAAAGATGTTGACTGGAGTTGTACAACGCCAGCGGGGTTAGCGCAGAAGCCACTCAAAGAGTTGCAGCGCAGTCAGTTGTGTCCTTGGGCGCCGAGCTTTTGTCCTGCGGGCTGTGAGTGTGACTATGCCACACAAGCGCTTGTTGTGAATTGCACAAACGCGCGTCTTGAGGGCATCACACAACTGCCACATGCTGCGCAGTTCGCGCTCAACAGTAGCGCGCTTTACATCGAGCGCAACAATTTCTACGAGCTACCTGTGAATACAACGCCCGGTTACGTGGATGTAACACACATCTACGCCGCGCACAATCGGCTTGTCGCGCTGCAGTCAACTCACTTGCCGCCCAATCTGACAACGTT